AAGCATATCTTTTCCACCGGTGAATAATTTAGTTCATTTGGTGTCATCATTCTACTGAGGTAGTAGAGGGCATTTTGTTTCCCTTTATTGGCTTCCTGTGCTAACAAGGCTCCAACTGAACGTTCTTGTGCAGCGATGTAAAGTGTCAACGGATGTCCAAGAATTGGCGTTGTCAGCCCTGGTAGCTTCGTCAAGTAGTACTTTGGAATGCCTTCTTGCATGCTTCATCCCAATGGAAAGGCACTTATTTCTTCATAATTTCGCTGAAAGGTTGACATCGTCCAGCGAGGTTAGAGATGAATCTTCTTATATATGCTAATTTTCCTTGTAAGCTTTTTAGCTCGTGGATGTTGCGAGGCTCAGATATTTTCGTGATGGCGTCTATCTTTGCCTGTTTAATCTCAATTCCACAACTATGGACAATGAATCCGAGGAATTTTCCGGAGATGACTCCAAAAGCACACTTGAGAGGATTTATTTTTAATTGGTAGCGCCTCAACCTTTCAAAAACCTTTCTTAAGTCTTGCAGGTGATCCTCTTTTCTCTTGGATTTGACAACCAAGTCATCAACATAGCACTCTACATTTTTGTGTACCATGTCATCAAAGATCGCTCTTTGGTAGGTTGCCCCTGCATTTTTCAATCCGAAAGGCATAAATTTATAACAGTAGATACCTTTCGGTGTACGAAAGACGATTAACTCATCGTCTTCAGGTGCCATACGAATTTGGTTATATCCAGATGATCCATCCATAAAAGAAAGCGCTTCATGTCCTATCGTTGCATCAATCATCAATTCAGTTATGGGTAAAGGAAAATCATCTTTTGGGCATGCTTCGTTTAAGTCCCGAAAATCCACACAAACTCGGATTTGTCCATTCTTCTTCTTTGTAGGCACGATGTTGAAAATCCATTGGGGGTATTTGACTTCATGGATGAATCCCAATTCAATGAGTTTGTTTACTTCATTTTCAATTTGAGGGATGAGTTTAGGACGAAATCTTCGTTGCGCTTGCTTTACAGAGTGAGCTCCCTTCTCACACCTAGATGGTGGACCGCAACTTTCGGGTTTAAGCTGGACATTTCTTTATATGACCAAGCGAAGACATCTTGGAACTCGTTGAGAAGTCGGGTGTAGGAATTCATATCATCCTCACCCAGCTCTTTGCTGACATAGACGGGTCTTGGGTGATCTTCAATTCCCAAGTTGATTTCTTCTAACTCGTCCACTGCAGCTTTGACCCCTTCTTCAAGCGCGGCGGGTGCATTTTCTGCATCTTCTTCTATCATTGTCTCTTCATCCCCTTCAGTGATGTAGCAAGATGATGCAACAATTTCTTCATTATCTTATTTATCTTCTTTGGGTTTGGTGAAGACAATGGTTTGCCATTTAGCCTTTAAAATTTTACCGCAATATATCGTCATTTTTGTTTGATGCGTCATGCGGGATGGAAAACGGCTTTTGGTTTCTCCATCCACCTCCACATATTTTGTTGATGTCGAATTCGTCTTGTTTTTCTCTTTATTGATCTTTGGTCCTAACCTTGTGAAGACAGAAGGTCTTAGCCTCTTGAAGACCGATACTCTTAGGGGTGAGCATTCGGATTTTCGGTTCGAATTTTGCCAAATCCGAACCGAAGCGAAATAACCGAAATCTGAAAATCCGTAATCCGAACTAAAAAAATCCGAACCAAACCGAAAAATCCGAAATTCTAAATATTTTTATTATTGTTTTTAATTTTTAAATTTCTTTTATATTTTATTATTATTTTATAATATTAAATATATATATATAATATATAAAAATTAAATATATTAAAATATAATTAATAAATTTGAGTTTTTTATATTAAAATATAATATTTTCTAATAAAATATTAAATATTTATAATAAAAAAATATTAAAATGTTATATTTCGGATTTTGGATTGGTTGGAATTTTAAGTATACCGATCCGATCCGATCCAAAAATCTGAAATTTGTTAAAAATTCAATCCGATCCAATCCGAGAATCCGAAAAATCCAAACCAAATTTTAAATTTCGGTTTGGTTCGGATTGGATTTTCGGATTTCGAATATTTTGCTCACCCCTAGATACTCTTGTATTATTACCCTTTTGAGGTAAATTGGAAGACAAGCTCTCGCTTTCGGTGATATGATGGTTTGTGACCCTTTTGATAGCAATGCGTACAGGAGCTTGTGGCATGTATCCAAGACCACCCCTTGAACCTTGGGTTGTCTGTGGTGGTAATTTTCCCAGCCGTGACTCCTCATTTGGATTATATCCAGCTTTTGTGTGAAGTTTGTAGGCTTTTGGGCCAAATCTTTTATCCTTTTGCAACAGTATAGCCTCTATTTTTTCTTCTTTTCCATTCCTTGTCTGTGAGGGAGAGATTGGGTTGAGCGGGGTCATTGGAAGAGTCAAATGTTTCAGAGGCCCAATTAATGAGTCTGCAGAACCTGAGGCGGATGCTTTTTCTTTATCTCTTGACTTTTCCCCCAAGTTTGGTTGTGGTGCTTTGACATCTTCATGTACTTTGGATTCTTTTGCTTCTGTAGAGAAATATTTGGCTTCCGCAAAGTGTGACTCAGCTTCTGTATATGGCTTTGTGTGTAACACCCCCAGTTGGCTCATACTGGAAATGCTACCGCCACACTGCATCATGAGGTCGTCACCTCCTACTTCGGGCCCCACAATACAGTGTTAAGGCTAAATTAACCATAAAAATGCATTATTATATAACAAAATCTGATTTATGAATATTTACAAAAGACACCCCTAAACAAGAGATTTTTCCGGCTAAAAATTTACATATAATACAATAGATGTAAGTTCACTCACTCAGCCCGTCTTTCTATATCCCGAGACGTCCCCTGTCCTGGAGGTGCCATGCATACCTGCACTAAATATTTTTCTTAAAAGCAGTCTAGAATTAAATCTATTTTAAGAACTAACGTGAAATATGTCATGTCATGCCTTTTAAAGTAAAGTCTAATTTCCATCAATCATAAAATACGTGTCATGTCATGCCAATAGTGAAATGATGCAACAAAGATATCAAACTCGACAACAATGCACATGCACAAATATATATACATCCGCCGAAGTGAGCAGCCGGAATAACCTTGGCTCCATAATAATAGGCTCACTGCATCTCTCTAAGTGAGTAGCCGGAATAACCTCGGTCCCGTAATAACAAGCTCACTAGACCATCATCAATAAATAGACGGAAAATCCTCGGCTCAAGGAAAGACCTGATAAACCCATAATAATATAACGGTCATCCGGTCACTTCCATATACGCACCATACGACTCCCACAATCAATACATGGATAGTCGAACATTGTCGCCATTAACCACAAGACGCCCCATAGTCTGTGATAGCGAAGATAGGATCCCCACTGACTAGCCCTATCCCGTGTAATATAGTAGAATCCGTGCAACTTGGAATCACCCAAGGGAAACCCGAAAACTCTACTCCTCCTCGCGCGCCCTAACGGGATCACGTTTGGAGTTTGGCATATGATCTTAAACTACCGGTAGACCTCACCAGTGATCAGTCCAATGAGTGGAACAACACCGAACACGAATGATTAGACCAAATACGTCTCAACTACAATGGGTCTAATCCCTGAATGACCGTACGACTAAGTCACCCAGTTGTCCAACTACTATCGTCCACTATCGCCAAAGTGTTACGATGCATCGGGGTCGAATATCCTAACCCCAGATGATGCACTCGCGTAGCACTATCGCACACGGCAACTAAACGATAGATCCATAAAATATATCCGATAAACCGTGCAATATGTGTGCAACATGCCAAATAAGTGAATTTACCGAAAAGGGCTGATGAGACAGCTCACCTATCCTCCTTTTCATAAATTCACCAATGCGATCAAATACGTATATCAAATATCATAAACCGTGAAGTCTCCCACATGCATACGCACACATATATATATAAATATATACATGCATTGACAAAATGATTCACATAATATCACATTAACATATTAATCAGAATCGCATACAACATGCATACCTAATTTCTTAAAATTAGATTGAATTCCTTACTACTTACCTCGTATCGATACTCCCTAACTTTTGCAATCTCACTCAAATCTCCTCCAACATACACCTGCCCCATTATTTACTCAAATCAGATGAGCTATATGCTTATTCATATCAGCTACCTGTTTATTCAAAAGCTAATTTCTATAATTAGCTCGTTGGGTTTCAAACTTATATATTTAGTAGAATACGATATTCTAAATATAAAACTCTTATACCTCAGGATATTTATATCGCCCGATTATTAAATAAAAATACTTAAAGATATGAATATACAGGCAGGTGCAGTAAACTGCCGTTTTCAATTCAGCTCGGATCGATACGAAATTCTCAAAATATTACGCTAGGACTACGAATAGGCTATCAACAAAAGAAATTAGTCGATTAAATAGCCAAATAGCCAGTTATGAATTTTTTGAAGAACTTCTAATTTAATATCACCAATATCAAAATTCATATTAAAATCCATAATTAAATTCTACGTATAACAAGGAATACAATACCGAAGTCGGAATCAAAATCGGACAGCTAAATCTTTTTCTTTCTTTTTTTCTTTCTCTTTCTTCTTCTCTGCCTTATTCTCCTGCGCGTTTCTTCTTCTCCTTCGCGTTCTTCTGCTTCGGTTCGAAGAAAAGGTAGGTTTTTTGTTTTTATATATATTATATTATTATTATTATTATTATTATTATTATTATTATTTTCGTTATTATCATCATATTAATCCTTATTATTATATTTTTATTATTATTATCAATTATTTTTTATTATTTTATTATATATATTATATTTTATATTTATCTTTATCGATATCTATCCGTTTAACAGTTTTTATAATTATAATCAATATATAAAATAGGAATAAAATTTATTCCAAAATATTAATTTTTTGATCCCAAAATATTATAAAAATATTTTTTGTTAATATTATTTTATATACTCCGAAATCGGGGCATACATTGTGTCTCCGAGAACTTTCTTTGTCACTCCATTTTGAGTGTATTTGAAGCATTGGTGCCACGTTGATAGAACTACACCATTCTCATATATCCATGGTCTTCCCAAAAGAACGTTGAAAGATGTCTTTGCATCTATGACATAGAACAAAGGGTTAGTTTCCATTTCATCGATTAGCAGTCTCAATCTTATAGTGCCAAGTGCTCTTTGTCCCTCTTGATTGTATCTATGTATTGTCATACGACTCTCGAACAATCGATCTACTGGTATTCTCAATTGTTGCAATGTGTATAGAGGAAGGACGTTGACTGCGGCTCCTCCGTCTAAGAATATCTGGCTAATCCTTTGCTCATGGATATAAACCACGACCAGTAATGGACGATTATGGGGTTTGGATCCTAACATTAAATATTCATCAGTGAAAGTTATCATGGCACATTCTTCACTCGATTTGTCTCCGACCGCCTTGCCATCTTTCTCAGTAGTGAGGCAATATGATTCTTCGTCTTTTATGTCAACTTTGAGAGACCCGAACATGATTGAAGTGACATTAACAATAGCAAAATCGTCTTCAAGAGTGATCTTTCCTTCACGAACCAACTCCATGACTTTGTCTTTAAAGATGAAACAGTTATGGATGAGATGTCCTATGACACGATGGTATTTGCAGTATCTTGGGTCATCAACCTTTCCAGCTTTCTCCGGTCTTTTTGAATTCGGAAGTTCAACGAGGTTTTCTCTGAGTAGATCGTCAAAGATGCCTGAGACGTCAGAATCCAGGAAATGATAAGTTTTGGATTGCAACTCTTTAAGGGTTGGCCTTGGAGGTCTGTCTGTCTGAGTTGACTGTCTTTTCCTTGCAACTTCCTTTTCTTTACTTTGGATCTTCACTGGTGCTTTGGTCGTCGCTTTTATGGCCAATGCTTATTTTCCGAAAGACTTGATAGGGGCATTGTTCCCTTTCTTTGCGGCATCATATCTTTCGTATCTTTTTTCTTTTGAAGATTCTTGAACTAGTGGTCTGTGCATCCTGCTTGAAGCCATACTTAACTCCATGTCATGAGCGCGGGTAGCAAGTTCTTCGAAAGTGCGGGGTCGGATCCCTTGCAGGATATATTTCAACCCCCAGTGCATTCCTTGGACGCACATCTTTATACCGGAGGCCTCGGGCAGCCAGTCTTTGCAATTCAAGCTCAGAATCCTCAAGCGGTTGATGTATTCGATTGTTGGTTCATCTTTCCATTGACAAGTATTGGTGAGTTCTGTCATACTGACGGTTCTTTTCGTGCTGTAGAACAGGTTCAAGAACTCGTACTCCAACTGCTCCCAACTGTCGATGGAACCAGCCTCTAGGTCGATGTACCAGTCGAAGGCGTTGCCTTTTAATGACCGTATGAATTGCTTCACCAAGAGATCGCCGTATGTCCGAGCGTTGTTGCATGTTTCCATGAAGTGTGCCACGTGCTGCTTTGGGTTGCCTTTGCCATCAAATTGTTAGAACTTCAGCAGTTGATATCCTAACGGCATCTTGAGGGTGTCGATCCTTGAACTGTAAGGCTTGGCATAAATATTTGTTGGCCTTGAACTTCCTTCAAACTCCCTTTTGAGAGCTCCTTTGATATACTCGTCAAGCTGGGATAGATAGATGAAAGAGTCGGATGATGTTTGAAACGGCATTGGTCCCGCCATTTTTTCTTTACCATGGCATTGATCCGTGGATGCTTCCGCTTCGTCTTAGGCCTCTCGAGCATTATGGCTGGTTGGTTCTGGCTTGTCTAGTTTTGCAAGCAGCTTTGCGATGACATTGTCTTGTTGCTGCGTGTCTTGAGATATCCCTTCAATGACTTTGGACAATGTAGCGAGTTGGTCTTCTATGTTTGAAGCGTTCGTGGTCATCACCGGGGCATAACTTGATGTAGCCGAATAAATTGCAACTTCATAAGGGGTGACCGGTGCGGAGGTACTCTTGAAGCTTTCGTCCTCCTCATAGAGTGGATTTTGCTCTGTGATTTTCAGATGTGCGTCCTTGGAAAATGACAGTGCTCTTTTAGCCATGCTTCGTGTCATCACTCCAGCATTCGTTGAAGCACTTGAGGTTCTTGATGTAGTAGCAGCGACTCCTTTGGCGGCGGCTAGAGCAGTAGCTTTCGACACAGCATTGGAAGTCTTGATCTTATAGGAAGCCATTGGTTGTTGAGAATTCGACGGAAAGAGAGATGAAAGGTAGGGTTGTCCCACTGGGCGTGCCAAAGATCTGTAGACAAAAAAATTGTGTTATATTTTTATAAACACAAAATCGTACAAATCATATTTAATTTAAATATATGCGTGTCCTATTCTCTATTCGGATCCTTTGATTCTCTTCCCGGGTTGATTCATTTTTCCAACTTGAATTTGGATGGCTCCTTTGATCCGAAGGGATTTGGTCTTCGGTTTGGCTTTGCCGCCTTTTGGAGGACTTTGGTATCCATGTTAGTGATTTGATCATCGGCTTTGGATTTTGATGTCTCATTTGGATGATCCAAGGGAATTTGATCTTTGATGAGGTAGATTTGGTGCTCCATAACGCTTTTGGCGGCGTGTCCCTTTGACTTTTGGATCGAAGAGGGCCGAGTTGATGCTTTGGCGAAGAACGCGACAAACATCTTGAAGCTTTGGGAGCAGCTTTAGAGGCTCTTCCTTGGCTTTGATGGATTCCTCGATGGCTTTGGGAGCTTTGATCCTTCCTCCGGCTCGGGCATACAACGAAAAACATTAACTTCATCGATTCATCAACCAATATTGGATCATTTTTCCAAATCGGTGACTTTTTTACGAAGAACGCTTCGAAGGACACGAAGAACAATAAAGAATATTGCAGAGAGTCTAGAGAGACTTACCCTTGCGCGAGTCTTCAAATGAACTTCGGTGTGTAATGAATTGGCCAAGGCTCCTATTTATATGGGTGTGTGGCCTTGGCTTCTTTTTCGGATGGTGTCACATGGCGCGTCCTGATTGGCCAATAAAAAGATTCTATAATCTTTCTTTTTCCATCAGATGTCGTTTTCCATTCTTGACGGATTTGATTGGGAATCTTCCTTTTCCGTCAAGATCTTTATATCATTGCCTTTTTTGGAAGATATTATTTATATACTTCATTTATTGACAAGATTAATTTATTTGCTGCCAAATTTATTATGGTTCTATTTATACACGTAATATTTGTACGATATCTTCCATTTTAAGCAGATTTTTGCATTAATAGTTTATATTTATTGTACAAAAATTAACATATGTGTATAATTAAGTACCATGTATTTATATTATTGAAATTTTATTTTCTTTCAAAATACATGATATTTAATTTAATTTAGACATTTAATATTTAATGCCTACACTACGTACAAAAAATAAATGAATACCTAATTATTAGACGAAGAAAGTAGTATTGTTACGTATGAAATTTAGATTTAGGTTAAAAAGCCCAAGGTAAAAAGAAAAATGGGTCTAGCAATCGAGTTGATTGAACGGGCCGAGGGGCACCGTGGAAACTCAGGAAAAATAGATATATTTCGAAGGAAATAGAGGGTCGGAAGGTCCGCAGGTCGGAAGGTCCTCAGGTCGGGAGGTCCGCAGGTCGGAAAGTCCTCATAACAGAAACTCCGCAGGTCAGAAACTCCTCAGGACGGAAAGTCCTCGGGACGGAAGGTCCTCAGGTTGGGAGGTCCGCAGGTCGGAAGGTCTTCAGGTCGGGAGGTCCGCAGGTCGGAAAGTCCTCAGGACGGAAAGTCGGGAGGTCTGCGGCTGGACCAGTAAGTCGGATGGTCTTTAGGTCGGGAGGTCTGTGCCTGGACTAACAAGTCGGATGGTCTTTAGGTCGGGAGCTCTGCGGCTGGACCAAACAAGCCGGGTGGTCTGCAAATCGGGAGGTTGGTGGTCGGACCAATAAGGTGGAAGAGTTGGGTTTGGGCCAAAGGGGCGGAAGGTCTGCGGTCGGTCCAAAGAGGCGGATACTGTTGAGAGCAAGTAAGAATGATACTTTGGTCGGTTGAGGGCACGTGTCAACATGAGAAGGGTTAGTAGACGGTTGAAAAAGAGACGTTGTAACCGTTCGGGCGATGGTTTCCAGTACTGTTTCTCAAGGTATATTTAAGAATTTGGATTTTTTTGGAGAAATTATCTTCAATCAACTTCAACAAAGCAAATTCAGATTCGGGGATCACCACTTTAAATTTCCAGCATTTTAATTTTCCAGTTAATTTTCTTATGTACCGTACAGTGTTTAGAGATTCCTAATCTCATGCGCTAATTAATCAAATTTAAGGATATTTTCCATATCTTTGAATTTTACTTTTTGTTTGTTGAAAAAATACATCAACAAATTGGCGATCACAGTGGGAGAAAGGCAAGATTCCCGATCCTACATCATCAGAAAATTTCATACGACTGAGGTCTGGCCGAATCATCAGAAAGATCAGTATGGCAGGCTCACAGCCTCAATCATCATCAGCACCGGCGGGAGAAAATGTTTCACCACCCGTCATGCCAAATCCAGGGGAGATTCCCCAACCACCTACCGATTGGTTGTCTTATCTTCAGCAAATGAACAATCAGCAAACTGTGGTTATGCAGAATATGTTGCGCGAGCAACAAAATCTGATGCAGAACATGTTAGACCAAGCATTATCAAGGGTTACTCTTCAACCCACCCAGACGCCGCCAGGGGCGTCACCATCAAGAATGCAAGCAAATTTTGCAGGGCCATCATATGTGGACAGCACACTTCCAAGCGCCACAACGTTCAACCGAATAGATAGGGGAAAGACTCCTCTGACTTTCCCAAATAATATTCCTTTTGGACCAAGGGTTGAAAATGTTCAACTGAACATTACAAGAGAGGAAAGGCCAGGGGGACATGTGCAGGATCCTATTCTTATTCCTGCGCAAAATCCCATCGATGTTCCTGATCATCAACATTTTCGTTTGGGTGATGAAATTGCTCACGTTTTGAGGGTTCAGTTTGGTCTAAATCCTCAGATGGCCAACCGACCTGCTTATCAGAGACCGTTTCCAGAAAGGATTATTAACGAATATCCTCTCCCAAGGAATTACAGGCCACCAGATTTTCATGTTTTTTCTGGAGAAGACGGATCCTCCACTATAGAACATGTGGGGCGTTTTACAGCACAGTTAGGGGAAATTGGTAACAATCCTTTTTACAAGTTACAACTGTTTGGATTGTCCCTAACTAGGACTGCTTTTTCATGATTTGTAAGTCTGCCACCTGTGCAGAAACAAACTTGGGAAGGTTTAGAGATGGCATTTCATGCCAGATTTTTCAATCCCTTACCAACGGTTTCTTTGACTGATTTATTGGAAATGAAACAATATCCAGAAGAGTCAGCTTCACAGTTTATTAAAAATGTGCGATTGATGAAAGGACGGTGTCCTACAATAATCAATGAGAAAGAGATGACCAACTTAGTGGTCCGAAATATGCATGGTCGCCTAAGGGATGCGCTCACTGCACATGATGTCGAGGATTTGGCAAGTATCGCATCCAAGGCTGGACGTTTAGAATCTCTTTTCAGGAAAAGGGATCAGAATTTCAGGCGTAATAAGAGCCAACATATGGCTAGTATGGAAACAGAGGCATGCGATTTTGATTATGATCAAACAGAGAAGACGACGGCCGAAATAATTTCAGGATAGCCTTATGTATGCTCTAAATTAAAGCCAGCACCAGGAACAGAAGCTAAAGGGCAACCGACCTTTGACAATTCAAAGGCCGATGAGATATTTGATATTCTGCTAACTGATGGTCAGATCCGAATTCCAAAGGGACAAAGGTTGGCTACTAAGGAAGAAATTAAAGGGAGGCCGTACTGTAAGTGGCATAACTCCTTCACACATAATACAAGTCAATGCACTCATTTTTGAAATGAGATCCAAAAGGCTATTAAGGCAGGTCGGCTCAAATATATTACTGTGGGAGTGGAGCAGCAACCATTTCTGAAAGTAACCACAACAATGGTTAATATACAAGCAACTTCCAGAAAGGAAAAAGAGAGTTCATCAAACAATGGCCGACCAGAGGAGAAACTCAAGGTCTGTGAAAAAACAGTGGCTGAAAAATGGGACAACCAAGATGGTTCTTTTAATGTGGAGTTAAAGGACCAGGCTTCGGTTCGGGACCACCCGACCAGGAGGACAGGTGCGGTCGGAAGCAAATGGACTCGAAATAAGAAACCTTTACCAATTGATGTGGATCCTCGCTTCCCAGGAATGAATCGTACTCAGATTTGGAATGCCAAGCGCAGATACGCTGCGAGATACAGAGACAAGGTCACGTCATCAAAGCAACCGAATGACACCCGAAGAGCTGCTAAGCATTCAGAGGTAGGTCGGTCCATCAGGGTCGTTTCATTTGAGCAGTCGAATGAGGCAGAGAAAGGTTGGCTCATCGGGGC